TCTTTGGTTTTTATGTGCTTTGCTTTAGTTTTGGGTTGTAGGTCAAATGACAGCCATCAACTATTTTTAACACAGGAGTGCCTGTGCTGTGACCTCAGCTCCCCTTGTTTCTCACATATGAACCTATTATTTTATCCCAAAGTCACCTAGACTCTAAGGTTTGATGATATGATACCTAGTGGCATCTTTCTGTAAATTCCAGTTATTTTATGTGGACATCCTTATGGCATTTACCATTTTTCTAGTTTATTATCAAACTATTTCTTGGATTAGACTATATACTCCTAAAGAGCAGGCTGCACGGTTTCTCATCTGTGTGTTCTTTGAACTTATTACTTATACAAATACCTGTTAGAGGAATGATTCCTCTGTATTATAAAGACTAAGAAAAAAGAAGAAACACAGTAAAGCCAAAGAGTATGTTGGGCACCTTCTTGTATTCTTTTATACAATATTCACAGTAGTGCTATGAAGCCAGTCTTAAGACTCGAGACTCAGCTTGAATAATTTGTCCACAAGCTATAGTTGTCAGTGAAAAGGTGTCAGTTTCGACCTAAACCCATCTGATTATAAATGACTGGGGTTGGGGTCAAGAATTTAATAAAGGAACAAAGTTCAGAATTTCTAATTTTTAATTTGAACTGGTGGTGAGACAGATTAAATGATCTTTTTGATGAAATTTTGTGTTAGCTGAATAAAAAGACTAAATTTAGAAACTAGGCTTCCTGTCTCCTGCCTTTGTTGGCTCTTTTCACAACAAAAAAGAACTGAAATGAAGGCCCTAAAATTGTGTTTTGGTGTTTTCAATAAATACAACTTTTAAAAGTTAAAACCCTAGAAATATACAATTGGTCTTCACATTATCTTTTAAGAAAATTCTCTCAAAATGTTAGGTTTGGAAGCAAAAAAGTTTTAGATAACTTAAGTATCTAGATTTTTAAAAAACATTTTAAATTTTTTATTCTAACTTGCTATAATGCATTATAATTCTTATTGATTTTATTATACTGCAAATCTAAGTGGAATTCTTTCCATTTCTGAAATATATTACAAATTCAATTAATCAACATTTACCCACAGCAGAAGAAACACGCTATTCTAAATGAGAATGAATTCAATGAAAAAGGACTGGGCATTACCTTGTGGTTCCGAATTAGAAAAGTTTTCTATGACTCTTTTAGGTATGATTATTATTTAATTCTACTTGAAAGAATTATGGGATATGAATTTTTAAATGATTTCTTCACTGATCTGTAATAAGTGAGAAATGATATTATCTATCAAATTCCTAGGGGTATTAGGTTATCTTTCATTCCAGTGAAAAGACATTGCTTGGATTAAATTTGCCACTTAATATAAATAAACTTACTTTTAGTTAAATATCTGTTATACTCAGCCTGAGTGAGAACACTAATGGCTTATTGTAAGTGAGCAGGATGACATATAAACTTGTGATCCACTTATCTCTTTCTATAGTGCATGGTGTTCTGTTTACCCACCATTCTCATGAAAATCTATCAGTTATTCTTGGGGCAACATCTCCTTTCTCTATACAGAAAGAGAAACACTCTATAGTTCATTTACAGTGGGCTCAGCTAGAGTACCAGCATGACTTCAAGTCTTTTTGACTTGACTCTCTTCACATCTCTACAGTTGCAGTCTTTGACTTTCTTAACCATGGGGTGTGTGTGTGTGGTGGGAGGATACATCCCACACTGAGGCAATTAGAAAAAACAACTTTATAACAAAACTACATTCAACAAGACTCACATTGAAACACTAGATTGCATTTAAAACAAAGGCTACACTTCAATTTTGGTGTACCTAGAAAAAACAGCTCAGTCATTCTAAGCTATTTGTTTCATGTACTACAGTGCCATAGGTGATTTAGATGCTCATTGGGGTGGGGATGATCCTGATTTATACTTCAAGGTCAAAGCCAGTTTCATACAAAGTGTCTTCTGCTCCAGGAGTCCCTACAAAGAGGTCATTTTTGATCCTCTTAGTGTTTAGAATGGTTGAAAAGAAGTCAGAGAACCAGCTCCAGACCTCTAAGAATACAACTAAATGAAAACTAATATTTGAAACTGCCAATAGTTCTTAGAGGCCTTTGGAATTCATCATTGAATCACACAGAATTAGAAAGCTTTTAATCTCATTTGTTAAATTGCTTTTTAAAACTCACCAGTTCATTCATTTTACTGGATTGTAAGGTACCTCAAGAGTGACATCTGAGAATTATAATACCTTTGTATGCCATACAGCACTTAGTTCAATGCTGGCTTACTATAGATATTCACTAAGTATCTGCTGAATGAGTGAGTAGATACCTGTCCTAAATGGCTTGATGAAGATATCTTGACCTTAGAAGTATCAATAAGAAAAATATGTCTTAAAACAGTGACTCTAATCTTGGTATTCATGACTTATGTCCCAGTCACCTGGGACAATCAGTAGTAATGGTATTAAATTAGCCAGACAATTTCATATTTCCTTTCTTTTTGTATTGGGAATAAAAGTCCAGTTGTACTTAATTCTCAGTCACATACCTGAGGAAAGAGCTACAGCATCCACATAATCAGGAAACAGAGTGGGATGATATGTGTTAAACTCTTTTTTTTTGCAGGCCATTTATAGCCAACAAGCAGCTAACAGTCCCGAGGCAGTAATCTGGCCCATCTGTCATCATGAGCATGGAATAATTTTAGGGTCTTCTGGAATTATATTCATTTTAGTAATTTCAAATAATTTAGAAATTCTTGACCAAATTAATCCCCATCCCCCATGCCAAAGGAAAAGCAACATCAATGGTGGCTGTGGTAGAAATTGAGGGTACCTGACTGAGGGCTACTTGTGATTACACTGGGTCACTATTAATGGGAATAGATTCCTGTGGAAATCCTTGGGCAGAGAAAAACCAAATTTGCCTAGAATGAGATTTTGGCATTCATAAAAATGAGATTAACTATTATATTTTCTACATTTAATCTTTGTGAACCACTTCCAGAACACCTCTAACTTGAAAATACTGTAAGAGTGGTGGCACTATTGAAGAGAAATGGAGAAGCCTGTGAGGAAGTGTGGAGTCTGGTATTACACATATTCTGTTTGAAATGATAGACAAAACCTAAAATATCACTCATCCAACTCACTTATTTAAAACAGAGGTCAGACCTCAGGAGACAGTCTAGTCAGAAGCATGCCTCTGAGAATTCCGAGCAAGCATGTCATAGTATGGTAGTATGCCCTAAGGAAGAGACAAAGGGAGAGGAGAAGAGCCAGAAGCAGAGGATGGAACTTTGGGGCATAATTTTTACATAGGAGACTAGAAAAATAAAGGAAGCCAGTCAAGGAGGCATAAAATGAGAAAACAGTTAAAAAGAACATCAGCATATGGAAAGATACTGGCAAATGCGTTAAAAGTAAAGCCCAAGTATTCAGGCATGCTAGAACGTTTTTATCTGGGTTTTCTGGAGTCAACCATTCTGATCCCCTTGGGAGCACAAACTGGGACAACCTTTGTTTCTAAAAGAAGAGCAATCGCTTCTTGGTTGCCTCTTGATTAAACTTTCTTTGGGGGAAAAACAGTCAGAACTCAAGATTTTGGAGAGTAAAAATGCAAACCTGGTATTTAAGTTACTGATCAACACACAAAGGCAATTTAGAGGCCCTCACATGACATAAGAGATTTTGCTTCTTCATTCCTCTAGCCAACATACACTTCACTAACTGATGACTGCACCTTCTTCTTTACAGGTGCTGCTGCTTCACAGCTGCAGGGAGAAGGGATGTAAATTTCACTCTTGGACATGGGAATTATGTCACTGATGAGGCACACAGTGTTGAGAACTTTTAAATTAATTTTGCTAGGCTAAAGTTGCCTAACATGTTTAAATAGATATTTGAACTTTGAAATATTAGATATTTGAACTTTTAAAATATTAAACCAATTCCTAAGAATATCAATATGGGGTGAAAAATTTGGAGAGTAAAAATACAACAGGCAAATTGGTCTGCTTTAGAATAAATCTGCATATAGTGTCTTGCAGTGATACATTTTACAAAGGGAATTAGAGCTGTGAAATTAACATTTTAATGAAGCAGACAGACTACTGCAACAAGATTACTCACTGATTGCAGCTTCCAGGTGGCCTAATGACATGAAAATGAAGTTTATACCTTCAGCTAGTCTAAACTAGGGCTGTTTGGAGATTATGGTTGAATTTGAATTAGAAAATACTGCTGTGTGCAAACATGGTTAAGCTAGAAAGGAGTCTTTGCAAACCTTGGCACTGTAAATGCTTCATTTAAAATATGCAAGACAATACACATTCATACTTTTGCTCTGACTTTCCCCTGAAGCACTACACTAAAACCCATGGGAAGTCACTGCATTTTGGGAAACATTAAAATGGCTTTATCAGAATGATTTCTCTTAATTGTTACAGATTCATGGAATTTAAGAATTAAAAGGGAACTTTTATGTCATTTGGTGCAACCTCCCACTAGATGCCTAGAGGTGTCTTTTTCATTGCTGGTAGCTCTGATTTGTAGAAATGCTCTCATTACCTAGAAAACTGGAGGCTGAAATCTGTCCCCCTGGGACGCCTAGTCTTCAAAATTTTTTCCTCTGAAAGCAAATAGTGTGATACTAATTTCTGTGCATAACAGTAAATCAAACATGCAATGCAGTGTCAGCTAAATATAGCCCATGGGCCAATTCCACCTGTGTTTGTAGAGCTTGTGAACTAAGAATGGTTTTCATATTTCTTAAGTGACTGAAAAAAAATAAAAACAATAATTTTGTGATACTGAAATTCAAGTTCCTCTTTCCACAAGCAAAAATTTTATTGAGACACTGACCTACTCATCCATTTGCAAGACAACATTGTTAAATAATGCTCATACGGCTTGCATAGCCTGTAGTCTTTACTAAACTATTGAAAAAGTTTGCCAGCCCAATTCAAAGAAAACTGTCAAATCTTCTCTTTTTTCCTAAGTTACAGTTCTAAAGAGCACAGAAAAGATTTCCAGACTACCGAATGTACTCCCATCTGCCCTTGTCCCTTCCAAGTTGCTCAAGCACGGAGAGGGATTTGAGTGGTTATACTGTGGAAGTCCAGAAATAACAAACATCACTTCTACTCTATGGCCAGAAGCAGTGGGTGAGTAACTAGGCACATGTGCTTCTATGTCCCTAGGAAGGAGCAAAGAATCATCCTTTGTGGCCCCCCAAAAATTACAACTTAATTCTTGCTAAGGTCAACATTTGGTGTTTGTTCACAGTGAAACTGAGTAGTAGCATTACCTTTCTTTCTTCTCCTACTAATCATTTTCCCTGGAGTTAGTAATTACCTCATTTTTCTCTTTGTGAAATTTTCTAGAGAACTGCCACTTGTTCATCCTCAAACTCTCTGCTTAGAAGTAAGAATTTCCTTTCCATTTATTCAAACACATCAGCTAATCTATCAGTTTCACCTTGGACATCTCCTTGAAAGCCTACTCAGCCCAAGACTGTGACCTGAACTATGATGCACCAGGCTGGCTGCATGGCTGTTATCCTGAGTCTTCCTCACCACAGCCATTCTGGAGATTATCTTCCTGTGCTGTTTTCCTTGTTTCCTCAATCATTTATCTTTTTGTTTGTTTGTTTGTTTATTTCTTGTTAGAATACATCCTTTAGTAGCTACCTGAGAAAGGTGTAAGGGAAGTAAATTTGATTTGTTCTTGAAAAGGTGAAAAATGCCTATTCTGTCCAAAAACTTGTTTGAGAATTTGAGCAAGTTTACAATTCTTAGTTAAAGCCCACTTTTCTTCAAAAAAAAAAAAAAAAAAAATTGAAGGGCTTGCTCTACTCTTTCTACAGCATTGTCTTGGACAACATGATGCTATTCTAATTTTTTATCTTTTGAGTGTTAATTATTTCTCCCCTGTAGGAGTTTTAAGGGTCTTTGTTTTGTTGCTGGTATTTTGAAGTTTAACAGTAGTTTTAAAGTTAGAACTTTCTCTTTAATTGTATTGTGCCTCTATCTGGAAACTCAACTTTTTTGTTGTTTTCTTTTTAATTTTCTGATCATTTCTTTTACAATTTCTTTGGTAAGTTATTCCCTGTGTAAAAGGCTTCAACATGCAGAAAACAACTTTCTGAGATTTTTCCACTGTGCCAAGTACTGTTTCTTATATAAGGTTCTCATTATTTTGCGTAATATATCAATGCTAAGTTTCATATGTGTATTTATTTCATTGAAGCAGCACAATAAGCATGCTAGGTGAAGTTTTACTGTTAGTACTTACCAATGAACTGTTAAATAACTGCTCCAAGTCACACAGCACATGCCATGGAATTAGGATTCTAGCTCAATTCTTTCAATTCTAAAGTTCATGCTGTAAATTATTAGGTTTTACTGGTACAAAGAAAGCTCTACAATCCCATTCCTAATCTTATCTTTCTCTAAACTTTTATATACTTAATTTAAAAACAAGAGATGAGAAACCAGGGTTGATTTCATACTGAAATAGCATGAGTGCAAAAGCACCACTAAAGGATCAATGTGCTGTCAAAGAACTGCCCAAGTAGTTGAGCATGACGCTTAAGCTTTCCACCACCAGCATCACTCCTTTATTTCACAGAACAAAAATAAAAGCTGATTCTGAATGTACAACATATATAGAAAGGGGGATAATAAAATAAAATAAAGACATTAGAGAGAAACAATTGACTAATCAGTTTGTGAAAAGCTCTTAAAAGAAATGACACAGTTTTGGACAAGACAGCATCTACAGATGCCATTCCTAAGGCTGGTGCGTCCAGGTAGAAATCTAAGATGGCCAATGAACAGCAGGACCTCAGTCAATGACTGAAAGGGTAGGTGGTGGATGGCCCCTCTGAAAAGCACCTCACCTCTTAGCCAGTTTACCAAGACAGTCTTCATGAAAGAATTTTTCAAGATTCTCTTTAGCTAAGTTGAAATACTTTGGAACTGGCAGACAAATGCAGAAGGAAATGAACTGTTAACTTCTGAGGAACATGCATTTTCCAAGTTGCTGGTAAGATCTAGGTAAGGCGCACAATAGTAAAATGTACCTGTGGTTTTAAAAGCTCAGCAATCTACTCTGCTGCATAGTTAGATAGAAACATAAGCTTTCTCAAACACTTATCTGAGGTAGGCATGGTGGCGCATGCCTGGAATCCTAGCGGTTCAGGAGGCTAAGGCAGGAGGATTGAGAGTTCTAAGCTAGCCTCAGCAATTTAGCAAGTCCCTAAGCAACTTAATGAGGCTCTGTCTCAAAATAAAATAAAAAAAAAATGCTGGCGATGTGGCTCAGGGGTTAACGACCTCTGGGTTCAATCCCTGGTACAAAAACAAACAAACAAAAAATCCAAAAAACACAATCCACACTTATCTGCCCATAATTTGCCACTGTTGAGAGCCCCACAGGTATTCCATTTTAGTTTATTTGATTAAATCTAACTGCTATAGCCCACCACCTAAAGTCCCTTTGAGAAAAAAACTTGGGGAAAATCAACCATCCAAGTCTTCTACTAGCAAGTGGAGTTTCTCAACTGCCCTTCCCCACCTTACTTATATTCAACTGGAGGTTGGTCCCAAATCTGACTTATTTTAGACTTTGCTCTATTCCTTTTTTTCTCAATTTTGAAACTTACATGGTGTAACAACCATTTTACATTTATATAATAGGCCTGTCCGTTATACTATTTATAGTGAACTTATATACATATTTATATCAATTTGTTGTTATGTCTCTGGAACTATATTTAAAAAAAAAAAACACAAAACCTTGCCAAATAACTTTAATGCTTTGATGTACATGTATTATTTCCTACATCTGTTAACCTTGAGATCTGAGGCTTGCATTGCTAACTGTGATAAAGGAGTCTGTGCTAAACTAGTCATATTCATGTGAACACTAAATATATTTGTTTTGGGGAAGTTAACTGGCCCACATGGGATTAAACCCACAATCTTGGTGTTATTGGTCCTTAACCAAAACAAATAATACACTGAAGGAAAGTTAGCGTTCTGCTTTGGTTATTTTACCACTTCAATAATTATGTTCACTGACAGAGCAACTTAGTGTTGAAAAATTGCCCAGAAATATTACAACAGCTCTTGGCATGTAGCAAAAATAGTTGAAAAATGATAATATACCATATTCAAACTTAGTATCCCAAAATTCAGGCTCTCTATTGGAAAATTATGCAGACCTATTATTTGAAACCCATGGTATAAATATCACCATGATATAAATAAACTCTTCTAACATATTATTTTTAAATGTACCCATTAAGTTCAGCAAAAGCTCAAAGTGGCCAGACTTTGAAGGATACTGGTTAAGGATAAAATAGGAAAGAATGAGTGAGAATAGCATTGCAAGCCAGGGCAAATGTTCCAGCTGGGAATGTACATAATGTGTCCAGGAGGCACTGAGAATCCAAGCTTAAGGAGAATGGAGATAAGGTAGAAACATCTTTGTAGCTCAAGTTTAGAGCTTGGAAGATAACTATACTCAAGACAGTGATCTGAACAAATGACTAAAGCCTAAGAGAAGGAAACTTATGGGTCTACTTAAAAAATCAAGAAAAGGAAAGGCCTAAGAGGAAGAAAAGAAATGGAAAACCAGACGAGGAAAATGGTCAGGAGGGCTGCTGTACACTGTAATAACATCATGGAGTAGTCTCTAGAAAGAAAGAGATAAGGGAACAGAGTTCCAGGATAAAAAAAAAAAAAAATGGGTGTGTACCAGACAACACAGTGAAAACAGACTCCCTTTAAGTTTCAGGGGACAAAGGAGACATACTCAGTAACTTATTCACAAAAAGGCTCCGATTAAAATTAATCTTTAAAGAACATATCAGAAAACCAGCCCAATTGGAGGGGACAGCCTTTAGAATCAGGAATTTATGGGGGAAAAATATTTTACAATTTTTTTTATGCTTGATTGAAATATTTACTTAAGGATTGTATAACAATTTTCTAATTTGGCATAAATTCTGTAGACACTTTCAGAAACATTCAATAAAATCTGCTTCATTGCTTTGCCTAGAGAAGTATTAATTATTCAGTGTTTCATTTCAATTAACATGGAATTCCTGAGAGAAAAGCAGCAAGAAAATGAAGATCACAATTTTATACCCTGTGCTGAGAAATAAAACACCTTTCCATGTAATGGTTAATTCAAGAGTAGTAACTGTCCATTTTGGTGTAAATGCCCTAGAACTTTGGTTCTGGAAATGTGTGTTTATTCACATGTGCAAGTTATATTAAAGAAATCTTAATCAAATAAGGCTAAATGAAACAGCAATATACCTTGATACAAATAAAGAAAATAAGTCAATAAAGGCATTATCACAATAAAAGCTCTAATTAGGGGTCACATTCAACTTATCAATTATCTTAAAGGAACAGATATGTGATAAAAGTCAGGAGTAAAATGCTTAGGGCAGATTCCAGGTGGTGAGTGGGAGGGTGTTCACTGTAAACTTTAAATTTTGCTGTATGTTTGAAATTTTTCATAGCAAAATGTTGAAAAAAAAAATGAATGAATATATAGGACTCTTTGAGTACAGAGAAAACATTCTAGCATAAAAAATTTACAAAACTTATTTTTCTCTTTGTTATTAGAATAACATACAAATACCCCAGCAGCTCAAAAAAATAAACAAAAATAAATAAACAAAATAAATTTAAAAGTCAAATAGCAACATAGTTATAATGAAAATAAAACAGGCCCAAATCACATCTCTAAGTTTTGAGGCTCTATAAACAAAATTGTGAAACTATAAAAACTTTAAATTTATATTTCTTATGTATTGTTTTTTTGAAAATGTATGGGTAGGGTAAAATTAATTGAGAAGTAATGAAATGACAAAAATTCTAGAACTAGAATTTTAAAGGTTCTGATGAAACCTGTTAGGACATGATCTTCTAAAACAATGTCACAACAAATGTTTTCTGCACTGTGAAAAAATCACAGTGACACATAGAAAGCCAAGTGTGGCAGGGATTTCCTAGTGGCACTGCTTATGCCTCAGGCAAGAAAAAGTGGAGAAAGCCAGCACAATTTAACTACAGAGATCTGAATATGTGTATCACCGCCTAATCCACTGATTAAAAGCCCAACGCAAATACTATATTAGGTAAGAGGAATGAATTACATTTCCTTGAAATTTGCTTCTCGTAAAATTTTCTAATTCCCCAACTGAACAGATGCTTGGATCAATGCCACATAAAATTTAAGAATAAGCCATTTTGTCAGTATCTTAGTCCATTTGGGCTGCTGTAACAAATTACCATTGACTTGGTGACTTATAAACAATACAAATTTATTTCTCAATTTCTCAGTTTTTGGAGGCTGGAAGTTTGAGGTCAGGATGCCAGCATGTTGGGTTCTGGTGAGGACCCTCTTCCTGTTCACATGGCAGAAGACTGGAGGCTCTCTCTGGAACCTCTATTATAAGGGCACTAATCACACTAATAAGGGCTCTGCCTTCAAATCCTGATCATTATTCACAAGCCCCACCTCCTAAACCTATCATCACACTGGGAATTAGGTTATCAATTCATGTTCTGGAAGGGAACCACAAACAGATGACAGCAGTCATATTTTTCAAAAATTTCATATGGAGTTTGCAGATAAACATTAAGATTTAAGTAATATGTTCAAATTCTTGATTAGCTGGCTAGGGATAGTTTTAAAAAGTAAAGTCAGGTTCTAATTAATTCATTCTGCTGACAGTTAAATGAACAAATTTTTTTCTCAAAGTGTGACTTTCTTTGAAAAACAAAGTAAAAGCAATCATCTTTCATTTGTTTCAGTAAGTATTCTTTTAGTAGTGTTAGTATTCTATTGAGAGTTTTTATGAGTGTGCCTTTTCCCCCACATCCGGGCCAACACTTTTTGTGGTTTGTATTCTTAATAGCTGGCATTCTGACTGGAGTGAGATGAAATCTTAGAGTAGTTTTGGTTTGCATTTCTTTAATAGTTAGAGATGTTAAACATTTTTTCATATATTTGTTGATTGATTGTATATTACCTTCTGAGAAGTGTCTGTTCAGTTCCTTGGCCCATTTATTGATTGGGTTATTATGGGACTGCAAAATGGTGCAGCCAATAATGGAAAGCAGTATGGAGATTCCTTGGAAAACTTGGAATGGAACCACCATTTGACCCAGCTATCCCACTCCTCAGTCTATACCCCAAAGACTTAAAAACAGCATATACAGGGACACTGCCACAACCATGTTTATAGCAGCACAATTCACAATAGCCATTTTGTCAGTACCTTAGTCCATTTGGGCTGCTGTTACAAATTACCATTTGGAACCAACCTAGATGCCTGTCAGTAGAAGAATGAATAAAGAAAATGTGGTATATATACACAATGGAATATTACTCAGCAATAAAATAGAATACCATCATGACATTTGCAGGTAAATAGATGGAGTTAGAGAATATAATGCTAAGTGAAGTTAGCCAATCGCAAAAAAACAGATGCCAAATGTTTTCTCTGATATAAGGAGGCTGATTCATAGTAGGGTTGGGAGGGGGAGCATGGGAAGATTAGGCGAACTCTAGATAGGCCAAAGGGGAAGGGAAGGGGGCAAGGATGTAAAAAAGATGGTGGAACGAGATGGACATCATTACCCTAAGTACATGTATGAAGACACGAATGGTGTGAACAGACTTTGGATACAACCAGACATATGAAAAATTGTGCTCTATATGTGTAATATGAATTGTAATGCATTCTGCTCTCATATATAACAAATTAGAATAAAAAAAAACTAAAAAAATAATAACAAAGCAATCAAAAAAAAGAGTTTTTATGGTTGATTAAGTTCATTTTGTCTTATTTTGTCTATTTAGAAAACTGGAAGTAGCACTGGGGATCTACTGTTTGTTAACTCACATGACCTAAAAGAATTTAAGTAGTCAGAAAGGTAGATAAAGAGATGATGGACAGGCAGGTAGACTGATATGCAATTAAATATAATACTAATGAAAATATACAAAATATATTTCACCTCTATGAATTGTTTTATCTTGTCCAACTTTCTTATATAAAACCAACTCCATTTGTATATAAATGGTAAAATATGCTTTTGTTTTCAAATAACAAATAGGTCTACCAGACAAAACTTATGAGCAATGTAGAATGTCATACTAAAATATTTGATTCTGCTATATAGAATGATAGAAAGGCCAAATCAAGCAACAATGAAACAAAACTCAGCATAAATAGTAAGCCTTTTTTCCCTAATGATATTCAAACTATCTCATTATTTAGTCGCATCTCACAAAAACTGGATTTTCAACTATTGAGAACACTTTTAAAAAATACCAGCCTTAAGAGATACATTTATGAGAATCCTTACAGAGAAAATTAATCATTAGTCAATGCTTTATTATAAATATTGAATATTGGTTTTGAAGAGCTCTATAGAACCCATGATTCCTAGGTCAGAGTGCACTAATATCACAAAAAAAAACTGGATTGGATTTTAAATTTTGAAAGTCCTAACTACGATAATTGTACAGCACTTAACAGTGGCATAGGGAATTGAAGAGCTCTTCACCTGGGTTAATTGGGATAGAAGAACTATTTTGCAACCACACTTTTTCAAGAAGGCATTTTATGTTGTTTCAAGGTCAGTTTGTTAAAGCAAAGTGCTAGCAGCAGGTTGGTAAATAATAGATCCTATTGAACCTTTTCATAAATAGGTGACTTTTATTATTTTTTGCAAGCAATGTATTAACTGAATATATTTAAACTGATGCTACTCTGATGTACATAATAGATTAAATAATATTCCAGCAATTAAATCACAGTTACTTTACTAAGCAAGCTCCTTCTTCATAAATGAAATAATGATACATTTCAGTCCAATTCTAAAAACAACAAAGTTCATTTCAAGTTGAGAAAGTTATATTAACAGCGCTTTACAATACATGAATCTAACTATCAAGTTAGGAAAGAGAAATAATGCTTCCTTATCAAATTGATTTTTAATATTTCTTTCTACATCCAAGTTTGAGTTCATTTCTTTGATGCTCCATTACTGTCATACTAAAGGAAGTGTTGGAATACAGGAAAGAGACTGGAGGGAACAAAAGTACATAGTATCTATTTATTCATATTTGTGGACTGCTTAGTAGGTACTAAGACCTGTGTTAGGAGCAGGGATCACAAAGATAAACAATAACTCTCATGTCATTAGCAGTCTTGTAGGAAACACAAGTATATAAATAAATATAGCACTGTGTGATAAGGACAATGATGTAAAAACTATAGAGGATACAGGGACATTCAAAGGAAGAAATGAAAAACTATGGTGGAGGGGGATTGATGCAAGGAACTTTCTAAGAAGAGCAGCAGCCAGGTCCAGTTTCCAAGTGCACAGGTATTCAAGGCAAAGAAAGTCGAAATAGTGTGGTGTGTTATTAATTGCTCATGTCTGTCTGTCCTAGTAGCCTGTGGGCTCTATGTTACTAGGTAAGATAGGTTCATCAACTTTTGTATTTTCAAGGCTTTACACAGCAGGTGCTTGAAAAAACTTTGGATAGGATTGATTATGTCCTTTATCAGTTTCTGTAACATTCCAAATATAACATATGAATATAAAACAGTTTTTAACACTTACAGACAAAGATAACCTACAGTTTAAAAATTAAGGAAATATACAATTTTATTTAATGTCATAAAAATAGCTCCAAAAGCCCTCTTTAATTTGTTTGCCTTAAAGGGTACAACATAGATTCTACTTTGTAAGGTCAAAACTAAACTCAAAGCTCAGCAGTTGAAAGCTGTATTAGAACAGATAATTAGTAAAAATTATGATGTATTTAGTAATGACTATGACATGGCCCAGTACTGAGCTAAGCTCTTCACACAGGTGTCATTTGTTCCTGACAAAAATCCTGTGAGGCAGGTGTCTTCATTTTATAGATATGATAGGTACAGTTTAGCAAGGTGATCATCACACTCTAGTTTGAAAAGTAACAATATTTTTTTCTTCAAAAGCTGTAACATTTACACTTCCAAGTTCAGTTATATGAACTGTTTTCACAATGCCCTAAACTGTGAAAGTAGCATTCATTTATCAACTGAAGGTCAAATGTAAAGCAAATGATCTCAGTTATCATATTTTACTTCTATGTTGAAGAACTGAAAAGAAAGGACATTTTTTAGAACATTAAAAAAATCGCTTCTCGGCCTTTTGGCTAAGATCATGTGTAGAACATTAAAAACATCTAGCAATTTTGATGTTACAAACATAGTGTGTTTCATTGGTGATATTTATACAAGAAGGCATATCAGCCTTGGTTGGGCACTCCCTTCCTGTTTTTTAGTGCTTACTGTTTTTCTTGTTTTAATATGACATTTGACACCTTTGAATCTTGTTTTATCCGTGTAAAATGAAACTGATCTGACTCTTCCGCATGCATGCTCAAGTATCCAAGTTTTCTATGTATATTTAATATATTTCCATGTCACTACCTGCTAGTAGATATTTAGTTCCTGAAACAACTTCTGAGTTTCAAGCAGTGAAACATAAGATGATCTGTTCTAATGTCAAGTTTCCATTCCCAAGTAAATATGTAATGTGCTTATTCATTCCCTCCTCCATATAAAGCCTTGCCTCATTACTCCCAGAATATATGTCAGGCTTACTTTCAAATAAAATTAAGTAATAAATAGGCTTACTGCCTGTTGGTAGGGAATATAAAATCTTTTATTCTTTCTAATTCATTTGTCACCTCCTAGAAATCAAACGATTTCCTTGCCACCTATAAGTTGTTCTAACTAAGAAACAACAAAGCAACTACCCTGTTTCAAGTCTAGAAAGAAAACTATTAAAACCTCTAGTTAAAAGTATTTTAAGGTCAATGATTAAAGTTCAAAGTAAATGGCCAGCAAAAAAATATTTTAAGTGATATTTAAAGCCACATCTTCTTCACCCACAAATGTTCTGGAATTGCTAGTTTATTTGGATAAAGTCTTATGCAAAGGGTTCCAGAACTCTATAGACACAGCAGGTTCCAAAAATCTCTAGATCAAGTCTAAGAGTAGAATGATTATGTAATGTACCAGAAACACTACAACTAAGGCACATGTCCCTGAACTTGCTTTGTGCATGAAGGGTCTTAGACATCACCTTTCTTTCAAAACAAAAGCATCCCATAAAGGACAACATAAGTGAAATACAGAAGACAAAAACAATTTGAATCACCTCTTAGATACTGGGTTTTGTTACAAGGGATGCTTTTCAACCATGAGATGAATGGCAAAAAAGAATCCCGCCTGTTATTAAATGTTTGTCAATGACTTTAAATGGGACACAAAATCTTTAAGAGCAATAGCAGACTGAAAGGGAATCACAAAATTCCTGGGTAAAGGTTCATCCCTCATAGTGGGGTATGGTAATATGCTTTGAATAATGAAGATAAAATAGACACAATCACAAATAAAAGCTATCTGTTTATACACACATTTCTTTGTTTTAAAAGGAGACACCCAGTGTACTACAGAAATTCAAACCACTCCAATAATACTAGGGTTTAAAGAACACACACCTCATCAAGTTGCAGTTTAGAATGAGATGAGCAGAAGACAACATCTTAATCAGCTGTCTGTCTAATTTAAATCCCCAGTAGATAAGTGTTCCTTTAGACAATGACCACAATGCACTGTCCCGTTTTTCATCAACATGGCCCCCTTCAGTCATTCTGCTGGCTTAAAGGAACACACTCTGGTTGTAACCCCATAGTCAATTCCTGCAGCTGAATGTAAATAAAACCAAGTTCAGCATCCACATCTGATTCAGGGCACTTACAATGCATACCAGAGAAACTGCTTTGATTGTGTTACACATACCAAATCCCTAGAGATGATATTTTGTTCTCAATAAAATAAATGTGCAACAGTATTTCAACTGAAAAGACATCATATTTTTAAAAGTATTACTGAAGCCCACTGCCATGAAAGAGCTATGGCAGAGGAAGTCCAAAATGAATCTAACTGGCTTAATATCTGAACTGCTGAAGAGTTAGCCAAATGACCAATTTGCAGCATTTATAAAATATATTGTTTACCAAAATTCTATCAAGTTTATAGCAGTTCTTATTGGAAATATTAAAAAAAAAAAAACTTCTGAAAACTTCTGCAGTTTTACTTCACTGGATTTCAATGGGTCCTTTATTAACTTGCTATTGCTGGACAAAAGTGAGATAGAGAGAAAAGAGATGGCTAAGTAAGCAGAGAACCTCAGGTCTCAAGAATCCTGAAGTCCTGCCTCCCAACAGCTCTAAGAATATCTGCAATCTGAATTCTTATCTACTCTCCTCACTCCTATTAGATGTATGGAACAAGCCTCAGAAGAGAATGTTTGAAGGCCCTGACACAGGAGTATAAACTGGTATTAAAAAAAAAAAAAAAGAGGCGGGGGGGTATAAGGTACTTTCCTTGGAGGAGAAGGCCTGAGTCCTAGAGAGGGAGAAGATTCTAACTGAAAGCTGAATGATTGCTTACCATGAGGAACTTGGACTTGATCCTCAGGGATTGGCAAACTTCCACCAGAAGGCCAGAGCCCATGAGACAGTAATACTTGTAAATTATTGGTGAACACCTGAAGAGAAGACTGAGGTTCAGTTAGGCTACGGTAAGATATGATGTTTTGGTAGTAGTAAGATAATTTTGCCTGTCTCTTTAGACTAGAAGGCTAGAGTATTTGGAACAGCCAAAACAACATAAAGACTGGACAACTATCTTTTAATTATTGATCATGGATAAAAACCAAATTGTTATACTTCTAATGAACTCCAATTATTTTTATCTAAAGGAAGAGCTATTCTTTAAAAAAAAAAAAAAAAAAAAAGGTTTACTATAGAACTGGAAAAGAGAGTCCTAAAGTTCATTTGGATGAATGAAAAACCAGAATAGCCAAAACAATTCTAAACCAAAAAAACAATGCTGGAGGTCACAATGCCTGAGTTCAAATTATACTAGAGAGAGGTAGTAACAGAAATTGCAATGTACTGGCATAAAGACAAACACATAGACTAATGGTATAGAATAGAAGATAGGGACAAACCCATGCATCTACGGTCACCGGATCATTTACCAAAGTGCCAAAAACATACATTGGAGAAGACATAGCTTAATTAACAAATCGTGCTGGGAAAACTGGGTACTCATATGTATAAGAATGAAACTATATCCTTATCTCTCATTCTACATTAAAAATCAACTCAAAATGGAATCAAAGACATAGGAATTAGACCAGAAACTATGCAACTCCTAGAAGAAAATGTAGGGTCAACACTCCACCACATAGGCACAGGCAATGACTTTCTCAATTGGACTCTGAAAGCTCAGGAAATAAGTTATAAATGGGATGACATCAAAACAAAAAACTTCTACACAGCAAAGGAAACAATTAATGTAAAGAGAGAGCCTACAGAATAAAAGAAAATCTTTGCTAGATAGTCCTCTGGCAGAAGACTAATATCCAGTACATATAGGAAACTAAAAAAACATAACATCAAAAAACAACTCAATGGTACAATGGCAAATGAATGAAACAGACACTTTTCTATAGAAGTACAAATAACAGTCAATAAATACATGAAAAAATATTCAACATCTTTGGTAGTTAGGGAAATGTAAACCAAAACTACACTGAGATTTCATCTCATTCCAGTTAGAATGGCAACAATCGAGAATACAAAGAATAAAGAACACTGGAGAGAGTGTGGAGAAAAAGGAAGACTTTTCCACTACTGGTGGAACTGACGATTTGTACAGCTACTATGAAAATCAGTACAATTATGCATAGACAATAAGCTACAAAAGATTATAGCAAGAAAGCCAGGGAACCTTCCAGGATACTGTCAGGTATGATCACATGCAATTAAGCTGTGCATTATACAATGCAGTAATATTCTTTAACCTTCTTTAAGAGTCTGACATCTGTATCTACCATATCTACATATCATATTTTGAAATGGATTCACTAAATCTACAAGAAACTCCCCTTAATATTAAAGCCATTCTAAATGTGAATGGGCTGGGCATGGTACCTATAATCCCAACAACTAAGGAGGCTGAGGCAGGAGGATTTTGAATTCAAAGCCAGCCTCAGCAACTCAGTGAGACCAACTCTTAAGTAAAATATTTTAAAAAGGGCAGGGGACGTGTTTGAGTGGGTAAGCCCCTCCAGATTCAATCCAAGGGAAAAAGAAGGAAAAGGAAAAGGAAAGGGAATCAGCTAGGCAGAACAGTTATGAACAAGAATGGGGAACAACAAGGCTATTTTAGCTACATGTATTGAGGACAAAGAAAAAAGGAAACACAAGCAGGGTAGCCAATAGGCTTCAGAGTGTATAGAACAGATGTTCATACATGCAACTGCAACACAAACTAGAGTGTCTCTGCAGAAGAACAAGAACTGCTACAGGAATTTCTAGCTGACAGAATCAGAACAAGCTTCCTAGAAAAGATGGCCATCTTTTCTCATCTTCTTGCATATTCCAAACATTTCTATTCAATAATTTCAGCACAAAATAAAACAAACAACAAATCAAAACAAAGCTAAAATTCTGAGTGGTTATCCAAATAAAACATGATATATAGACTAATACTTAGGAACCTGAAAAATCCACTGGGTAACTATTTAACAGTGTTAGCAGAGACAATCACAGAAATGATGGCAACTTGGCCTTTCACATTTCTGCTTTTCTCCATGTTTTATTCACTTCATTTGATAATACACTGGCCTACTCTAGATTATTTCATCAGAAAGACCTGGAAGTTGAGAGTTTTATCTGCTCTAACCACCATTCCCCAATATTATAACAACATTTTGCCAGAAAGTGCACTGGGGGTGAGGTAGGAAAATCTGGATACAGTATTAGCATTAGTGAAATGAAGAAAAATACCTGAGTATGTGATTTGGGGCTTGGGATAGAAAAATGGCACTCAGAATAACACTGGTACTGTGGTAATGCAGAAGGCTGTATTTAGATGGCATGTCAATGAAACAAAGAAACCTATCATACTGAAGTTCACAGAAATGAAATTTGAATTGTAACTGCTAGCTGTATCTTTATATCCAAAAGGAGCACTAAAAGCCCCTGAGAAACTTCTGGTTTAGCTCCTCAAATAAATGTAGATATTTAGATAAACAAACTTCTGTAATAAGATCTAAATACCAAGTTTTATTTTGACAATAAACTACAACATCTTTCTAATTAATAACCAATAAATATCTAGTTACATCTCTTGATAATTAAGCTTATTTCAAATTTGTATGGGCCACAACTTTCAATAAAAAACATCAAAGAGCTAATTGAGTATGAAGTAAAATAAACTGATTCACAGGGAAAAAA